ACGATGTCATCGGTTTAATTTCGAAGGTATTTAAGTTTCACAGAGTAAGGGAGAGAAATGATGACGCGAAGAAGTTCCTTTCTTTGGAGCATTGTGTCTAGAATTTCTGCTTCTTTGAACTGGTTGGAATTTCGTTTTCTTCCTCCTCCCTTCTCCGGCACATCTCTGATTACCAGCGAGCCAGGAATCGTATTGGTGTGGATGTTACGGATGCAAGGATGTTCAAGTAGTTTCAAACCAATATCAAGAACTTCTCGAACGTTTCACCAATCTTGCTTTCGCTTTCGTTTCGCAACGATAGGCTCTTCTTATTTCAATGCGAAATTCGAAACCTTGAGAAAAAAGAGGAATCGAAGAGCGATACCATACTCTGCTAACGTCCTTGATTAAAATTTCACTCTCGTCTGAAAAAACTCGCGTGTAAAAGCGCAACAGGCTCAAAAAAAAAAAAAAAAAAAAAAAAAAAGGGGGAAAAAAGGTGTAGGAGGATTCTGGAGGAATTCCTGGAATGCTCCCACGAAGAAAATTAACCCGTTGGTGGCTCTGTCCTGCCGGTCGTATCGGTCCCCCTCCGGTTTCTCGCGATGCATCGGTTTCGCCTCGTGTAGCGAAACAAGCGCATAAAATGCGAAAGCTAGCGAGCCCGCGAAGGATCCTCCCGAGGTTTCGCCTCGGTTCATCCTGGAGGATCGCATACCTGAACGTCTGACGTCACGAGAGAGGAAGAAAGACGGTCGGAGCCAGCGAAGACGTTTGATTTTATATATACGGACACGGTACAGAGCCCGGGCCTTCTTGAGCAAGAACCTGCCTCTATAAATAGGATATCCGGTCGTTCGCTAATTATACTTCGATGCATGCTGTCCGCATAGCGAGAACTTGCACGAATTCTCGGCCAATCCAGCCGATTTCCACGGTAATTATCGTCGAATTTTTGATGATGAACTTTTGCAAACTTTGACGGTAGAAAAGAAACGAAAGTAAAGAGGAAAGGGAAATGCATACAGGAGAACGTTCGACGAAGAAAGAGATAAAACATAGGAGAATGTGTTCGGTGAAAGAAGAATGATAAGCGAATAATTAAGACTCAGGTTAATTGCGTTCGCGGCTCGTCTCACGGTCGTTGAAATCTCCGGCACGATGAAAGCGCGCGAACTCGGCCGTTTTCCTTGGGAATCGATCGAATTTCGCAGAACGAGTTCCAACGAGAAAATTGAAAATTACAATTCGATAATCGGAGACAAAGGCGTGTACGAGAAAGAACACGAGTCACGCGCTCGAGAGAACGCGCGCTACATGAGAACGTCGCGATAATAATGAAGACTCTGGTTCCTGTTCTAGATACGTTGTCGTTTTTCTCGTAAACGAGTGAACAAACCAAGCCGCCACCATGGACGCGATCAAGAAGAAGATGCAGGGAATGAAGCTGGAGAAGGACAACGCGATGGATCGCGCGTTGCTCTGCGAACAGCAAGCTCGTGACGCGAACGCGCGAGCGGAAAAGGTAAATGTTTAATATTTTCACGATCTTATAACGTGCAGTCGAGGGACACGGAATAATTCTCGACAAACTGAGAATAAGAAGTAGTTTGGTGAATAAAAAAGAATTCCAAAAATGTCTGTCTACTTCGTTTACGAAAACAGGGAATAAAAATAGCGATGAAACAATCGCGGTGTAAAAAAGAAAATATGATATGCGAGACTGGCATTTATTCAAGAATTTTAATTCTAGACTCGGAGCTTTTTTATATTTGTTATACAAATAATAGTGATATATATATAGGACGATGCATAATTATTTTTATTAGCTTAATAGTTTGATTTACAATATTCTTTTTGTTTAATAAAGGCTGAGGAAGAGGCGCGCGCCCTGCAGAAGAAGATCCAGACTATTGAAAATGAACTCGATCAAACTCAAGAGGCTCTCATGCAGGTTAATGCTAAGCTCGAGGAGAAAGACAAGGCGTTGCAGAACGTGAGTTAATCGCTATGTCCCTTATTATAATCTTAAATTTTCCGACTCTCTGTCGGATAATTTGCAATATAACTTTACAGAATTATTTTACATAGAGAAAAGAAGCAAAAGATAATTGTGCATAATGATTCAGAGTTCAGTTGAGAAAAAAACGAATGATCGTTTTAAAAAAAAAAAAAAAAAAAAAAAAAA